GTGCCTGAACAAACAAAGCTCTATAAGGCCATCTAAATTTCTCTGTTAGGTGTTAGCAAATACAAGCTAGGATGTGTCAGCAATGCATGTTTTGCTTCGTTGTGATGCCTTTCTTGGCTTTAGGAAAATATTTAGTTATTTGTAATCCTGGAACAGTTCAGATTTTTGTGGATGACATTGCTGTGTCTGCAGCAATGTAAATAACTGTAATAAATAACGCTGATTTATTAAATGATCATAAAGCCTTTTATCGACATTATTGGCTACATTTTTGTGCATTTTAGTGATGCATTGCTAAGGTAATGGTGAGGTTTCGCCCTTTGCACTGTTGGGGCTGGTGAGGATGATGTTGGTAAGGCGGATCAGCGGAGTTTCATTGGCGTTTGGTCGTCAATATTGTCAAGGATCGCCAGGGTTCAGCATTTCGTCAGCATTCGGCATTTTGCTATCCCATAAAGTAGCAATTCATATGGCCGCCTTGCCTCTACACTTCTGACAACCTAAACTTTGCATTTTAGTGCTCATTAAACGGGCAAAAGAAACAAATTTCAATCTTACTCAGTAATCTCTTCTACCCAGAGAGCTGCGTCCAAAAAATTGGCCAACTTACACTTGGTCGACGAGTATGGTTAAGGCTAGATGGAAGGATGGTCGGTATTTTATCTTAATTTTACACGGTCTAAAATAAAATCGCCTTTGGAATAAATATGTTTAAAGCGAAAACAAGAGGGTCTTGATTTTACCTTTAAAATTAAGTTTTGCGGTGGATTGCTACTCTATTATGAACAGGAAGGGGTGGGGGAGGGGTGGCAGTTGAACGACTTTGACTTAATGCCGCCTAAAAGGTCTTAGAGAATCCGGATAGCAGGGAAACAGACTGTAAATTTGCATTAACTAGAACGAAGACTGAAATGAATGTATTACCTCCTCCAACACTTGATCAAAAACTTGTCCTCGGAGTGAAGGCCTACTGAGCCTTTTTATTATTATCCACAGCATGCATCATCCTGCTTCTGTATGCACATCTACTAGGAGCTACAGAAGCGGCTTTCCGTTTAATGTAAAAGTAGCCTCTTGACTTCTATTCGTTCCTTCCTATCTGTCTACCCTCAGGTCCACAATTTACCAGTTGTCAGAAGAGCTGAAACAGAGTCTCCTCAGCTAAAATGGCTGGCTTAGTGCTAGAGAGGCTAAGGCTCGTCATTTGCCTCCTCTTCACACTCCATTCCACCATTTTACTTAACGCAGATCACTTACTTTGGCCCAAATACAGGACATGCTTAAAGGGGCTACCCTCCAGATCATATACTTTATTACTGTTGACCGAGGACCATAAAAGTCGAGAAGGTTATGATTGAAGGTAGCTGATATTCACGACGGTCCGACGGTTCCAACGAACCGCTTTACCCCACTTTTAGGACAGTAAAAGATGTAAACAACTCACATCCGAAATGGTCGAGACTGTGCTTGATGATGACGATCGCCTATTTGCACGTTCTTTAATTATCACCTTCATGTCAATGAAGGGGGAAGAGGGGAGAAGGTTGTCTAGCCGTCTATATGCAGTTGGCTGGACGGAGGTGAAACAATCTTTCCGCAGCATTAGCTTTGATCCCCTCCCCTCTCCCCTTCGAGGTGCCTCCATGTGGATGTATGAGATTTGGCAGACCAGAGTGTGTCTGTCATAATTGAGATGTTCTTTCCCTTATGCAGTCTCATGTCGTGCAACGTTGTTTGCGAAGCTGTGAACGCTCATAGGCAATTTCCAAGGGAATGGGACGTCAAGCCTTGACAGAAACCATTTTGAGTCCGTCATCACCACCAAAGCCATGTAGTACATTCCAAAGAGCGTTCAATTCCCAACAATAAAGTAGTCATTCTGCGCTGTTGTGCTGCGATTTTCCATTTCTCTTTGTCGGAGAATGGGAAGTTTATTAGTTGTGGGTGGATGTATGAGCGTCGTATGCCATGCGGAGGCTGTCGATTCGTTCTTCATTGAGGTGTTTGGGCTAGGAGGGAATTCAGTCATTGTGACCAGCGCAGTGATGAGGCGCGATTTGTGTTGCTGAGGTGTAAACAAACACATTCATGGCAGCCTTCAAACGATCTATTCACCACTCTTTCCTTTACTACGCACACCACTTCCCCTTCAAGCCAGCGGACTGAAGTGCCTTGCAAGTGGATGCGTGCAACAAGAGATCGTGCGAGGGCTGAGATGGGCCCAGCCTATAAAGGAGCATTTAAGATTACACACCCGACAAAACTGTTCTCAATTTCATTCCACTTCCTTCCACACTTCGATCCCCTATTTACAACACCGTAACCCTCAAGGATAAATGCTTTGGCTTCCTGGAATGCAAAACAACCTTTTTATCATTGCAGAGCCTTCCTCGATAACCCGATGTCGTTATCTTTATCTTCTCATAATCGCTAAAGCCCAATTGTCTGCATTGCGAGGGATGAGCATAGCGGCCACTTTGGAAGAACCTCCACAATGATCATAATTTTAATGGAAGTCCCTTTTAAGTTTTTGCGAGACAGAGAAGTAAACACCACCACAGCACCCATTAAGGCTGGCTCCATCGTCCTCTTTGCATCTTCTGACTTGCCTCTTCTGGCCTCCATAGTCCATCTTCCTAGTGTTGGCTGAACCCACCGTTCTGGCGTCGCCTCAAATAATTTGGCTTCAAAAAGCATGGCTAAATGTCTGGCACGTAAAATGAGACGGGATATGCAAATTGCGAACAAAAAATGGCAAAGCCAACATCAAGTAACTACTTTTCGGCTTTTTGGACGGTGCTTGTTAAGTTTACACTCCTTAGACCTGCGTGGCTACTGATTACAGCACCAAAGTATTCTTCTTCGAAGACAAAAAGTGCGGTCGCATCATTTGGGTAGTGGAAAGGTAAGAGGACCAACGGCTTTGCTGGCACGACACGAGTACGATAGAATTCACTGAATTGTAATTCAACGACAAGGAAGTCCTTTTAGCATGCCGCAAGTTGTGCTTACCAAGAGGCAAGCGCTTTGAGCGTCCCCTCTCCTGTGATGCGGTTATTGCCCAACTTGCTTCTCCTCTGGCCTCCTGCTTAGAGGACTGCATGAAGAGCAGGAGTGATTCAATGTAGAGAATGGTGGAGGTTTTGGGTGAGACACCGTCTGCCTCATTCCCCTCTTTTGTGCAACCAAACAGGATAGTACATTACATTATTTGCTGGATAAAGGACACTTTAGTAGATTTGGCGTGCCACAGACACGCATGTTCGAATCGAGAAGAGTGGAGAGCCGCCCTCAGGAGAGCATCCATCTAGCTGGAACTTACCTGCCTTCTTAAATATGCTAGAGAATGAAATTGTGAATTCTAGATGAATGGAAAAAGACAACCGAGCCAAGGGCGTCAGATGGATAAACTGCAATCTCTGCACTTTTAGGCCTTTAAAGGGCTTCCAGCTCAAATAAACAAAATATGCTGTCGGAGGTCATGTGAGCTTAGCCAGGCATTGCAGATGCCTTCGTCCGCATACCTTTTAGCTAAACGATATTGTTTGGGGGAATGTGGACACCAATTCCCCAGGGGCAGTGCAAGACGACCAACAGATTTGAAGGCGCGCACTTAAAACGGCAGAGCCCGGCAGAAGAGAGTTCGGAGGGCGAGGCGGTGGACATCAATCATACTGACAAAAAGTACTCGAGGGAATCTCCTCCTCCGCCGGGCAAGGTGACCTCAAAGTTCACTCACTCCTTCTCGGGGCCGATTTAAGGTCATGTCGAAGAACGCCTCTTCACTGCTCCTTTTGAGTCATTTAGCTAAAATCAGTTGGCTTTACCAAGCATTTCAGGTGACCAGATAGTTCGAGATACTCAAGCCTTATTGGCCGTCAATTAAAATAGAACCAAATCTGGATGGCTCATTCATGGAAATCGCCTAAAACGGTTTTATGTCCTAACTGCAGCGTCTGTAAAAGATTGTGCTTCCTCACGAACAGGTTTTGGCGTCGACTAGTCCTGACTCGACTGACGAGGAGTCAAATGTTGGGCGTTTTGGTTAGAAGTTGGGCATCATCTGAGGGTGCTTTGCTGCCTCTCCTATAGTTGTGTGCGTGTTCTAGCTGTAGGTCTTCGTCGTAAGGACACTTGGTGGTTCCCTCGTCCCATTCCTTGCAGACCTGATTGAATAGAACATTCTTAGCACAACTGTAACAGTCCCACGCAAGCAGTGATGGGATAAAGCTGGCAGTCCAAAAAGCATATTCGGTTGTTGCGTTAAAGATTTTTCTACCTTTATCGGCGAGCAATGTACGAGTTCGCATCAAATTTAAATCGGCTTAAATGTTTTTGCCAACAGCGAGTCAAGAAATAGCCAGTCTGTAGCAGCTTCCCATCTCTCATCATCTAATTGGTGAGCCCATAATTATTATGGAGTGAATGAAGAGAGGGCGAAGGGGAATGAAGATGAGACAAATTCTTCCTCCCTCTCTCCCTCTCCTTTCCACTTCCGTGGCATCAGATTAGGTAGGTAAACGCAAAAGTCTTTTTTAAGTGCAAGCATGAAATTCTTCCTTGGAACAGTTGAATCTTATTCTGTCTTCGCTCATAAAGTTGCAGCTCTCTTTTTAGTTCTTAAACAAGTGGGGAAAAAATCAGATGATGCAGATGGACAGTCATGAGTGTGGAAGTTAATCAAAACAAACAGAGCGAATGGGAATGAGGTTGCACAGAGCAACTGGTGGATAGATGGATGGATGGATTAATAAATGTGTCTCCCATAGTCGCAACTATTTACGCAATGAGTGATGCGTTTTGATCCAAAATATTCAGTTTGGTTTTTATTAAAAGTGACGGGGGAGGACATAAAATTTCAATTTAGTGGGTAATGAGTTGCCTAACCAATGAAGAGCCCACTTACACCAACCAATCAGAAAATTCCTTCATGTGAAAATAAAAACCTCGTCGCTGTATGCTCTCAATCCACTTCCATTCTCAACCCAGTCACTTCAAGAATGCTTAACCTCTTTTCAAGGTCAACAGGTCGACACTACTCAAACAGGTTTGAGTACAGCAGTACCAACATCTCGCGAAGGCAGTCGGTCACACCAAGTGGAAAGACCTTCCGACGACACACATTTGAGGGAACTGGAACACCCTCAACACCACTTGCATCCCCACGTCACACTTCAAAAGCAGCTCTTCTCCCAGGACATCCAGAGAGCATGGACCGCTTCACCACCACGCTGGAACAACTGTCTGGTTTATTAGGTTGGAAACGAAAGGAGTCTTTCCAGCCTGAGTTTTTCGAAGCATGGGATCGGCATACAACTCTACTGAGTGAATTCCGAGAGATCATGGGTCTTGTGGAGCACATTGAAAAGGTCTACGAGGCTTCGAAAAACCAACAGCCACTCGCAAGATTTAAGCAATTGAAGGCTTGTATACAAAGAACTCACCTATTTTTGCAAGTCTGTGCAGTGCATTCCAGCGTAGCAAAGGACGTGGCAATGTACTACTCAAGGAATGGCGGGAGCGAATCGGATCTCAGTTTTCAAAGATCCATCCAGCGTGGGTCGGTGATCGGTAGCCTTGCAAAAGAGGCCGAAGCTTTCCGGATAAGGGAACAGGCTTTTGACAGTGCGTACTTCTCCTAGTGCTTAGATTCTTTAATTTATTTTTGGTATGACTCAACAAAATAACCCCATAATTTCATCACTTAGTGCACACTGAAGAGGTAGGATGATATCGGAAGAGCAACTACCTGTTAATGCCCAAAATAAGCTCGATTAAGGGACACATATCCATCTGGAGAGAGATGCGTTAGATTAGAAGACGCCTTTAAAACCCTTCGTGACAGTGCATCTCTTAATTAAGGCAATACACTGAGAATGTTGTAACTTAAGTTCTCTTCACTTTAAGCAAATGAGCCTCTTTGAGCTGTCAACGTTTATTCCTTCTTTTCTTGCATAGGCCTCCTGATTACTAAAATGATAGCTCCCCTGCTTGGTAATTGATTGACCAACTAACTGTCCGTTTGATCAGCTATAAAAAAAATCATCGCTGACTTAACCATTCAAATGCCTTATAGTTAAGCCAAGCACGGCAGTGATAATCTGCAGGTAATGTGCTGGCTACGTTGCCACCCAGTAGTCACTGCTATGCAAACACCTAATTATCTCCAAGGCCCTTCAAAAAATTGCCTTTACGTGATGTGCACAAGAAAATCAAACTACACATTAGAGGCCATTTCGCTGAAAAATAATCTCGGCAGATCAAGTTAACGTTAATGTGGCAAGGAGTTGAGCTAGAAAAAGTCGAGCGTAAAGTGGGCAAGCGCAATAATTTATCGGGAAAAATTGCCTGTTAACCATTCAGAAATGTATATTTTCTCTTGCTTTGCACTGAGTTGTTACTCCAAATCGAGTTGGGATGCTGTAATATGTGGCTGGGCTGAATTGAAAGATAGAATCTTGACTGACAAATTCACCAGCATTTGCTACCCAATAGTTCTTTTCATGCGCCACCATATCGTCATTCTAAATTGCAAAGTCAAGTGAATCATTTTTCAGTTATCTTTAAATATGGACAACTCAAGACGGAGGCTTCAGATGCTTTATTTATTCCATATTTGGTTTCTGTCTCAGGAATCTCAAAAGAATCAATTCAAAATGCAGATTTCATAATTGATTTGCACTTATTATAACTTTTTTGCAATTCGTTTTATTCATCGAACCTTCGTTACCACAGTTACTGCGTAACGAAAAGTCAAGTTAGTTTGTGACTATGACACGCGGATCTCATTTCCTAAAATTCTATCTTGCCTGTCTCAGTGGCTCAACATATAGGTGAATTTTCTTTAAAATCACAGCTAAAAGCGTTTAGTAATGCATTTTATGCGTGATTGGATCGAATTTAACGACTTTGAAACAATTTTGACATCGTTTTCCACTTTCTAAGATTTTCTCTCAACAATCCAAATAAGAGCGTCATTCGTGGGAATGAACCATTTAGCGAACTAAAGTGAGAATTTGTCACATTTACAAAACAATAACTTTACTTTATGTTTTAACCTTAGCCGACATTTTGTTTCTTGCCTTCCGTACAATGCTATCCTTACTTCAAACCTTTTTTTGCATTTTACGTCAGAGAAATGTAAAAATCATTGCCAGAAGTGGCTAGTGTGATGTATTCTCCACATAGGGGTCGATCTACAGCAGCTGATGAGTGATTTGGGTCGCCTGAAGGAGGAAAATGAAGTGCTGACAGTGCAGAGTAAACTCCTTTTGGCAGAACTCAAGTGGCTCTGTGACCGATACACCGATATGCAAGGCGCCAATCCCATCTCCAAGTACTTCTTCCTCAAACGCATCATTCGGAAAGTCATCTATGGCGATACTTTACGAGAAGTTTCGTACGTACTATTTAGCCTTTTAACTGCGGCGAGATGTCCATAATCGGTTGCACTTAAGCGTCAGTCAGGGCACATCCGATTGGGCTGAACACCCACACCCAGACCGACCTGTGTGGCTTCGGACGAAACAGTCAGGACTTGATAGATGGCAAAATGAAACACATGCATTGCTTAGTTAAGGCTTTAATGTGATTGATTGCATTCAGCACGATTGAAAGGCACAGAATTCTTCTTTGCAAACCATCAGTCCATATCCAAAGAAATGGAAACATTAAAGCTTATGCTATTTAGTTATTATTAAAGTATAAGTGGGTTGAAAGCCCATTACAGGAACGGTTCATATATACAATGCAAGGTATGCATTTAGTAGGCAAAGCCGGAGCTAATGGGCATTTCAGTAACATAATGGAATAGAGAGAATTGTCGAAAGCCTGCAAGAAATCTATTAGAAATACACTAAAAACTTCGTTCTTCCTCCCTTTTAGATCAATGAAGAGCCCCGTCCAAATGGTGGCGTAATCTTTTGCTGCATTCAAGAGTTGACAAAAACTGGACTTGTGTAATCACTTGTTCGAATAGTAATTTCATCCACAATCTAAAAAAATTGCTTAAAGTGGCTCTAGAACCATTGTTGACTGTTTGGTGGGTTATTTTGGTGGTGGTTAGGTTCTTATTTGCTCTGGTGCATTTGAAAATGACGAGGCAAAGAGCTTTGCAAGTATATCCTTCAAACTTACGAAGAATGCGTTTTTGATCAGTAACTTTTCCTCAAATTTTAATTTTAAAGTATTTCATTAAAAGGTGTTTTTTTGCAATAGAAGGTCATCCACTTTAGTGTTAACTAGTTCTACCCTGCTTGGTGTCTTTAATTTCGCTTACATAATTGCTGTGGTTATTTACAACGTTTATTACTTTTCTAAAAATTATGTTTGGAGTTCATTTGACCACCATTTTTGGTTTCTAAAGTAAATGACAATGGTTAAATACAAATGGATTTCAATGGTAATCACGAGTCTTCAAAGAGCCTATTTCCATCTCATTGCACTTTAGTCAAGTCCATCATTCCCTTACGTGGTTTATGGTACATGAAATGGAAATTCATTTTTCACTAAACACGTGGAGTCGCCGGTTTGGTCTAAGGTTTCCTTCTTCACGCCTTTGAAGGCATTGTAAGACTTGCTGGAGGCTTACTCTCCTTTAGTAAAGCCTATTTTCACTGTGATGTAATTATTTTTGCGGCATACAACTTGCATGTGAAAATTAAATTCTGTTCAGTTTCCTTTTACCACCTTCACCGGTACAATTAGATTGACAACCTAAATACGCGGTGACTGAAGTCTGTAACCTTTTTGCTGTTCGGTCGGTTCGGTGGTGTGATCTGCGACCCGCAGCCTCATCCGCGAGTTTGCGTTACACGAGACTCTGGCCAGATCTAAGGGATGCGCCACAAGTCCGACTGCTTCATGTACCAATGTTTGCTCGACTTCAAGGCTGTATAAATTTTACAATGAGGAGTCATGTGCTCCTACAATAGTGCGTTTCTTCACTAGTAATGTGTCAAGGCTTACACTCGCATAAACTGAGAAGGAACCTGGCACGCATTAGCAACAGATGATAGTAGACTGAGGAAGCTGTTCTTTTGTTTGCCTGTCTGCCTTTCTCTATTTATTCACCCACTCTGAGCAAACGACGTCACTGGGATAAGTTTATGCGACTACTGACTGGGCCACTTGTGATAAAGTGTTTTTTCCCTCGACTACCGTCAACCAGTCCACCGCATACCTCAGTCTCGGCCCGCTATTCCTATGGCAGTCAGCCTCCCCTCATCTCTCTTATTCCCTTGGCAATAATTTCCCTTCCCATTGACCATCACCTCGCCTTGGCAGCAACACGAGACTAGGCCAATGTATACAGGCAAGAATGAAACAAACGCCAAGTAATTAGAAATGCGATGGAGGGATAGATGACTTAGACTAAGCTTTTTTCTCCTTAGAAGAATTGAATATTAATAAAGTGGAATTGACTCTCGATGCAAAGTGCTTTGGCGAGACTTTACGGGGTATTCCTCTGACGCAAACTTGTAAACGAGGTCAAGCAATTGGGAATTTAGAGCTAAGCTGATCATTTTCCGAGTTAAGTGAATAATATTAAGTGGATACGCTCTTCTGCCTCAAAATCGGTTGACTGAACGTATCGTTGAGCAGAGGGTCCTCCTTTCAGTGGAACCAACTTTGTTGCACACCTGTGATATCGGCTTAAGGTTGATTTGTTGAATATAATAATGGGAACACAATAGTTTCCTTCCTTTGGAATGATTTTCCTATGCTGGCGATGGAGATGCCCAAGTTTAACTTAATGGTGGACTCCAAGTGGGAGAAAATTTGCACACCCCTCTTCCCCATTACCTCCCTCGGTATTGAACTAGAGGTTTGCATCCAATGGCTTTCAAAGAGTTCTCAGGTGGAAGGAGTTCGCCACTGGCTTGGTTACGCATTCAGGTGATGCGAGTGGATCTTTATTGCATCTTAAAGTATGGAGGCAGTGCACAGGCAGCATCAAAAAGGCAAAACAATTCCGAACGTAAGGGAAGAAGGATGATAACTGCGAATGGGAAGGTCTGCGATGACCACTATTAGTTTGAGCCTCATCTACTGCAACCATCTTAGCCCCACGATATGCATAAGAGCCGTGAATGAATAGATCAACCATCGAACAGAGTTTGGCACAGAACCAACTTCTCTGCTTTTCAAAATTAAATATTGATAACCACAGCCCAAAGTCACTTAAGTGGGGTTATTTTGAGGAACCGAAGCGGACGTGAAATTCTTTTTCCCAACTCAACTACTTCAAACATTGCACTTCATTAGAAACTGCTCACTGCTATTGCCTAAGTTTGGTCGCCAAACAAGGCGAATCGCTGATGCCGACGGAATTACTTCGAGGCATTGCACTTCTTTGCATAACGCCTCACTAGCACTCAAACTCGACGTCTTCTGTGCTTGGCGTGTGGAGTTCTTCCCCACTAACGCTTTCCACGTCGGGAGACCCATGGCTTAAGGCTGACTGAGGGGAGCGCACTTTGGTACTTTGGTAACGCAAGTACCGAAGCACTCGGCTAATGGGCAACCACTCGGTGCCAGCAGCCTCTGACAGTGCCCCATGCCCCAAATTAAATGGCTACCTTCGCCAGTACCGGGTAAATAGAAAACTCGGTTTATACTTTTACTCTATTTTTTTTCAATTACTTCTGGTAAATCTATGACGATTCCATAAAAGGATTTTTTGACGAAAATATTTCCTGCTTATAATCGACTTTGCCTTTATGCCAGTTTTCGAGGTGCCAGAGCAGGCAAAAATTGACGGGCAGTGGGGAGCTCCTCATATCACCAAAGTGGAGACGGCTCTGCTGTAAGGAGGTGAATGCGCCTTCGTTGTGAATTATCCGCTTAAATCTAACATCATCCTTGGCATATTTCAAAGACAAAAAAAACTAATTTTCGGCCGTACGAAACAGAAAACTTTGTGCCTTTGTCATCATTTTATTCGTGCGAATTTCCGCATTCTTCCTATAAGACAAGAAATATTGTTTACTTGGTTGCATTTTGCTTGTCATTGTCACTGACGTAGTCGTCAACTGCGCATACGGTATGGCCTGCGGGGTTGTTAGAGGACGACTAGGAACAATTGAAAGCAAATAAAGCGCAGAAAATTGCTAAAGTACATCGGCAGACCTTTGGCGACTTCTGTCAATGCCACCACTGTCAAGCATACTGCCAGCAAAGAATGAAAAATTGACTGCTTCAGCTTCCTTACCTTCTGTCACCATCTTGTTACCTGACAAATCAGTCTACCACTTCACGATCCAACGTGATCTTCTACTGCCGAAAAAGTTGACAGCTGTCAAGAGAAGAGGGCTGGAATAGTGCTCACATCCGTTCAATTCGCAGTCAAAAATACTTTAACGCCTATCTTTAGTCGATTTGGCAGGCATGAGAGGCTGCACGTTTGGATGCCCCAACCCCTCCAATTTGGTCAGCATCACAGGTGAGACGCACCTCTCGCTCTCCTCTAAAACACCATTTTTGGCCTCTGCTCGGTTCGCGAGCCACGGCATGCGCGATTTTACAGAGAAGTGAACAAGGCAGAACCGTGCCCTGGAAAGGTGGGATAAATGGTGAAGTGGCTTAAGGACAACTGATGATGTTTTGACTGATTGGCAAAAAGTCCTCTCAGTCCAATTCCAAGCCGTCAAAAGACAAATAATAGTGCAGAAGGCGTTCTCCAACCCTGCTTGAAAGATACCGAAGCAAAAACAAACAAGCGAACATGGAAAAATGCCTGCTGTGTTTATAATGGCCCGTTGGTAAGGCAACCATTTACTTATCTCCACTTTAATGACTCCCATTTTCCCATTGATGGGGTCGTTTGCCACCCCCAGCATCATCACTCAAGTTGGAAGGGAATGAGAGGTCGAAACACACACACAGGTCTTGAAGAAGAGCAAAATAGTGGGAATGTCATCCCTCATTGCTCAAAACACTGGAGGATCCAAATGAATGTGAGCTGTCAGCCACTTGTAGCCCTCAGCTTAAGTACTTTCGGACGTATCACAAAGCTAAACTGTTACGCACAACTTTACGATTGTCTCATCGAAGTGACCGATTCTTCGACTTGTCCATGCTTATATGAAAGTACAAATTTTCACTTTGGACCAAGAAAATTAGTAACGCTCCTCCCTTATATCATCCGTCTTGAGTCAGCGATCTGCTTGACACAAGCCATGTGGCGCAAGCATTGTTACTGCAAACTGACACCCGAAAGGCTGCTCAAAATTTGTGACCAAGAAGGCCTGCTGAACGTTGTGCGGTCGGTGTCAAGGTCAAGGTGTTCTCCAAGCCGCATTGAGAAGAAAGAAACCCTCAACCAGCGTTTATTCAGCAAACAGGCATGTTAACATGAGCTTTGTTTTTTTGAAAACTAACGGCAGGACTGTTGTGGTTGAGGTTTTGACGAGACAGTGACAACAAGAAGACTACACAGGGACAAACAAAATATACTTTAGGCCTTAAATAGTTCTCATCGTTGCAATCTGTCATTCGCTCCCAGTTGGAGGAGTAGCTGATGTCCGACTCGTTGTAACATGGGATTTTCCGGGGAAGCAAACCATTTGCAGCCTGGTATCCTTCAAACTCCTCGTTGACTGTTTGTGACATGGCAATACCCTCCAGTGTAGACACCAAGTGAAGGAGATTAAGGGAGCGATGGGACAAAGTCGAAGTGGTATGTGCCTTTCTTTCGGACAGCCTTTCAACCTTCCTTCCCACCTCTCCTCCTCCAACTTTAAAGGGAGCGTACCTGATATGGTGTAGAGGGAATAGCAAACTCGAGCTGCTACTTCAGAAGGCGTGGCTCTGCCCTAGCCTTGAGTTCAACCGCGTTCTGCAGTCGTGAGTGCTAAGAGGCCGCTTCAATGCGTTGTGCTCGAAGCTATCTCCAGGTCGTATGCCCAGCGTCACTAT